TACATACCTTCTACCCCTCTGCCCACTCACAAACTTTTGCACAAACCACATTTCCTTTTTGTTCAATCAGATCTATAATCAATACTTCAAACTCATCACATGCCGAAGATGTTTCTGATCAGTTCTCCCTAGATGTGGGCCCCCTCTCCATTAAAGTGGCTCACCATCTGCAGAAGCACTAGGCCCTCTAGAAGACTGTCAGATAAGACTTGCCCAGCTTGCTGGAGAGTTGAAAACCCAGTTAAATTTATTTTACCTGGATTTTTAAAACTTAGTTAATTATGGTGCCACTCGTTTTTAAACTCTATATTTTAAAATGAAATACACTGCCTTCTAAGTCAATCAAACACAGTTTTTGGACTCAAAATTCATTTATGTCAGTGTCATGTTAAGCTCTAAATAAAACTGTCCCCTGCTTTTAGGAAAGAGCGCTCTGCCACGAGATGAACAGGCTGACCATTAACAGTGGACTAGCTTTTAAATGTCAGTGTGTAATATTTCTCTTTTTCTGGGGGTTCTGTTTTTATTATTAATTCACGAAAAAATAGCATCAGAAGGGATCTTCAAAGTCTAATTCTAATTCTAATGTAAGAATCCGTGGTGGCCAACTTTTTTTTTTTTTTTTTTTTTTTAAGAGATAGGGTCTTACTCTGTCAGCCAGTCTGGAGTGCAGTGGTGCCATCATAGCTCATTGCAACCTCAAACTCCTGGGCTCAAGCAATCTTCTTACCTCCTGAGTGGCTGGGACTACAGTTGTGTGCTTTCATGTTTGCCTAATTTTTATTTTATTTTATTTTTGTAGACTCAGGGGTCTCACTATGTTGCCCAGGCTGGTCTCGGACCCCTGACATCAAGCAGTCCTCCCACCTTAGCCTCCAAAATGCTGGGATTACAGGTGTGAGACACAGCACCTGGCCTCCTCTTACTTTCAAATATCCCAAACAATGCTGTGTACACTCTCTTACCATTCAGTTATTTGCATTTGTGAACAGCTCTAAAACCAGCAAATTCTTTTTTTATTGCATTAAACTTACTTTTTTCTTATAACTTTTAGGGTTGCGCAGAATCATATTTCTCTTCCACCTGCCAGCCTTCAAATATTTGAAGACAGATATGTTCTGTGTCCAAGCTAAGCAACTCAAGTCCTCCCATTTGTTCCTCACCAGACTTTATCTCCAGACCCTTCACCATCTCCTTCACCTCTGGGCATGCACTCTTTGAACAACTTCCTTTTTTAAAATATGACATCCTGAACTGATCGTAATAGTCCAGATTTGTTCCAAAAGCAGTGCCAAGAAGCTACGCCTCCTTCCTCCTGCACACTGTACATCTGTTAATGCAGCCCACATTTGCACATGTTTTGCTGGCAGCCTTGTCCCACTCAAGTTATTCTGAATTATCAAGCTGATATACTTGCCTCCTTTTAAAAAACAGACTTCAAGTTTCCAGAGGGCAGAAACACCAAGTCTAGACCTCTGTGTGGCATGCAAGGTGTCCCACAGTCTGACCCCCTCCAGATTTTAACTTGCCTCACTATACTCCTCTGCATAGACCATTGCTCCAGCCTAGTGGTCCGCTCGCCATTTTCTTCACTGCTGCTCCAACCTCCACCATGTGTCAGAATTACCTACAGTTTTCATGCAACACAGATATAATTACATCTCTCCATGGCTTTAAAACATTTGATACCTCACACTGGAAGGGACACACAGCGGTCTTCACAGCGTGGGTCCTGTCTACCTTTCTAGCCTCATGTTTCACCATCCGTCTCTTCCTTTCTCCCCAGGCCAGCTGGGAGTAACTAACTGCCTGTCTTCTGTGAGCAGAACATAGCATGAGTGTGTTACTTGCTGTGGTCAGGTTTAATCCCTGGTTAGGAATTGTGTTCCCTATTAGGTTATAAACGCACGTAGGGCGTAGTTAGTGTTTTATTCATCTTCGCATCTCTAGTCTAGCATCAGACCTGGCAGAGAGTGGATTTTAATGAATGGTAGGGGAATGAAGGGGGATGGATGGTCGCTGGGTAGGTGCATGCCCGGTCTCCCACTTGGGCTGTAAGACTTAGAGGGCAGGGCTCAAGTGTAATTTACTATGCTGCATCTCCACTGCCTCCGGGGGAAGGATTTCAGTCAATGTCTACATTGGAGGTCTAGGCCTCCAGTGTGTACCTGTTCTGAGCCTGTACACTCAGGGAGCGCAGGTGAGGGTGTAGACACGTGCACGTGACTTTTTTCAAGTTCACCTCATGACTCTTCCTTCTCTGTCTCTCCTCCCTCCCTCCTTCTTCTCCAATGCCTCTCTCCTGTGCCCCTCCCCCCCACCTGCTGTTCCTTCCCTGTCACCCGTCCTCTCTGCAGCCAGTGTCTGCTTCCCCGTGTGTGTGGAAGTGCCCTCGGAGACGGAGGCTGTGCAGGGCAACCCCATGAAGCTGCGCTGCATCTCCTGCATGAAGAGAGAGGAGGTGGAGGCCACCACGGTGGTGGAATGGTTCTACAGGCCCGAGGGCGGTAAAGATTTCCTTGTATGTTAGACTGCTGACTCTGGCCTTTCTTCTGCTGGCCTCTGCCGTTCCCAGCCTGGCTCCTGACAGTCTGGGGGATGCCGAGCTAGCAAACACTGGCTCTTTCTCTTTCAAACACTGACAGCTCCTCAGCAGATAACTGACAGCCTTAGTGAAGCCCCAGCTTGTTTGAAAGAAAGGGCACTGGGCCAGCTGCAAGCACCCTTGATTATAGGCTGGAGGAAGCAGAGGAAAGAGATAAGCCATAAAACCTACTATGTGATAGGCACCCTGACAGGCGTTTTGCAGGTGTTTTCATCTAATCTTCTGTGCCATCCTATTATATGCATTAAATTAATAAATAAATGGGAATAACACAAAGCATCATTATGTGAAATAACAAAGGTTAGCTCCTTTAACTCCTACAGTCCTAGTGAAATAGGAATGACAGGGATGACCAAGAGTGATCCAAGGGTGATATTCACCCGGGACACCCAGTACAGCCACATCAGCGAATAAATTATTTTAGACAGTTCTCTCATGGATACTTGCTGTGCCAAGTCTCCTAAGTGGCTGAACCCCCAGACTTATCCGTGATTTGGAAACTGAGAGATTCGCTCCTGGCAGAGCAGGGAGTCTTCCAGATTCTGCTCCTGTACCATGGCCAATGTCAGTTCTGGTTGGTTGGTGCCAGTGGCAAAGAGGTTGTCATATATATATACACACACACACATGCGCGCGCACACACACACACGTATATATGTATGTATGTATATATTCTCTCTCTCTCTTTCTCTCTCTCTCTCTCTCTCTCTCAAAGGAGTCTCCCTTTGTCACCCAGCTGGAGTGCAGTGGCATGATCTCACTCACCGCAATCTCCACCTCCCAGGTTCAAGCGATTCTCCCACCTCAGCCTCCCCAGTAGCTGGGACTACAGGCATGCACCACCATGCCCAGCTAATTTTTGTATTTTTAGTACAGAAAGAGTTTTGCCATGTTAGCCAGGCTGGTCACTCCTGGCCTCAGGTGATCCACCCACCTCGGCCTCCCAAAGTGCTGGGATTCCAGGCGTGGGCCACCGCGCCTGGTCGGTTGTCATACATTTTGAATACCACCTTGGAGATGACCATTATTTACTCCTTCACTGACTCTGGAGCCAGGTCGCCTGGGTTTGATTCTTGACTTCACACTTATTAACTCTGTGTCTTTGGACATGTTGGTCAACCTTTCTGTGCCTCGGTTTCGTCATTTTTAAAGTGGGGATATAAAGCATAGCCAAATTATAGGGCTGTTACCAGGACTCATGAGCTATAATTTTTAATGCATTGAAAATAGCTTCTGGAATATAGTAAGCACTATGTTAAGTGTTTGCTAGAGAAAAGATAGACACAGAAATGAGGAAACTGAGGTTCAAAGAAGTTTAATTAATAACTAAGACAGCTTAGACTTGAGCCAGGTGGTCTAACAGCAGATACAAGGCCCTTTTTATGGCACTGCTTTGCCTTCCTGGGAGCAAGTTTCTCCTTCACAAAGATTTGTAACGGAGACAACAGAAGGGTGAAACTGGGTTTAGCTTGCTCTTCTTTCTCACTATCCTAAAGCCGAACTCATTTCTGACTCTAGCTTCTATGTGCCATTCTGATGTAAATTTGCTACAGTCAGGTGCCAAGACTGGGACCAGCGGAGACTTCCCAGAGCCTGGCTCAGGTTTGACAGTGACACGTCAATGAAGCTGCAACTGAGGCTAGCCCCCAGCTGCAGGAGGCTGGATGGCTTGGCCAGATGCAAAGGCCCCCAGGGACTTCAGGCCTGGTCATGTACCACTGATAGCTGCCACTGATAGATGCTTCCAGGTCTGCCCAAAGTGAGGTGGATCAGAAGGAGAAGAAGAAAATGAAAAATATAAACGATGACAGCAAAAACAGCCATGGAAGTCCAGAGCAAGGCTGTCTCATAGAAATGTGTGTGATTGTGGCAACCTTCTCTGTCTGTGCTGTGCGATACAGTGGCCACCGGCCACATGTGGCTATGAATAATTGAAATGTGGCCAGTGCCATGGAGGAATTGAGTTTTACATTTTATTTAATTTTTAAGAAATTGAATTTAAGTAGCTACCTGTGGCTAGTGGAGACTAGAATAGCCAGCACAGCTATAGAGAGAGAGGAAAAAAAGGTGTGTTATGTCAGAGGGTGGAAGTGTTGAGGAAAGAAATTTAAAAGATGAGATTTCAGTTAAAGTTCAGTCCAAAGCAAAAGATGTGACGTGTACCTCTCTGGTGATGGCTCTCTGCTCATCTGCCATGCTTCAGCACCCTGGGCCCCCTTCCTGTGGCCTGGCCCAGCCTGTCCCACAGCCCCTGATGAGTACCAGCACAGAGAGTCCAGTTTTAAAGCCAAGGCTTTCACATGTCTTTATTACTAATGAATCTGCCTGTCTTGCTGTCTCTACCTTGTTCTCTTGCTGGCGGCCCTGGGACACATCTTACTCTCTTGTTCTCTCCTTCTGTCTCTTTCCAATCCTGTCTTTCTCTCAATGTCCGCTTCCTGGGCTCCCATACCCTTCTCCTGCCTGCCTTTGTTCTCCCTCTTTCCACTGCTTTCTTTTCTGCCAAGCTTCTTCCTGCACACCCCTGGCTGCCTCTGTCCTCACCATGTCCACATGCGCTGATGCTTGCTGCCTCTGTCCTCACCATGTCCACATGCGCTGATGCTTGCTGCCTCTGTCCTCACCATGTCCACATGCGCTGATGCTTGCTGCCTCTGCCTGTCCTTGCTTGTCTTTGCTCCCTTCCCTACCCTCCTCTGTGCCTCTTCATCCCACACCCACATTCTGGGTCTGCTGGTGACATTGTTCCCTCTCTTCCCTGTCCATGCACAATTCTGCTTCTTTTCTCTGCCTTGTCCGTAACTCAGCTTTCTCCTGCCATCTCCTCTCCTGGCCCTACCCTCGTCTGCTCCTCTATTTGCAGATCTACGAGTATCGGAATGGCCACCAGGAGGTGGAGAGCCCCTTTCAGGGGCGCCTGCAGTGGAATGGCAGCAAGGACCTGCAGGACGTGTCCATCACTGTGCTCAACGTCACTCTGAACGACTCTGGCCTCTACACCTGCAATGTGTCCCGGGAGTTTGAGTTTGAGGCGCATCGGCCCTTTGTGAAGACGACGCGGCTGATCCCCCTAAGAGTCACCGAGGAGGGTGAGGCTGAGGCACAGGGTCTCTAGGGCGTCCTGCTCTCTGTGGACAGGGAAGGGTAGGACAGCAGTTTTCCACATGAGTGAGGCCCTTAAAGAGTGCAAAAACCTGTGTATTTGGAATGGTGACATCTACAAATGTCACCATTGACCCATCTTCCTCTGGTGGCCAGCTTCCTGTAAACCGCCCAAGCAGCTTGTCTTTCTGTGCCTTTCCTCAAAGCAGAAAGGCTTGGAGATGATAGAATGAGCTCTTCCTGGTCCCGGAGAAAGAGGCTAGCCTCCATGAGGCCGAAAGCTACTGATTCAGCTAGGCCTTCTTCTCTGGCCTATGTTGAATCCCTGACTCAGTGGGCTCAGAGAAATCTCATGAGGTTACCTCGAAGTCATCTCTCCTTCTGCCTGGAGGCAATACATGCCTCCAAGCCGGGGGTTCTCAAACATTAGCAAACCTCAAAATCTCCTGCAGGGCTTTCTGGAAGCCAGCCTTTCTGCTTTTGTCGGTGGAGCCTGAGCGTTTGCATTGCGTGACACGCTGCCTGGCAGGCAGTGCTGCTTGCTGGGACCGCACTTTGAGAACCTCTCTCTAAACCAAAGTTTGACCATCTTTTCTTCTTTTGTCTTGCTTCACAGTAATCACACGTGCCACCCCTTCCCCATCTGTGGCATCTCTTATTACATAGTTCATTCTCTGCTGGGAGAAGGGGACAGGTCAATAGCTCTCTAGCCTTGTTTAAAATCTTTGGACTCCTACAGCTAGTTCCGTGTTCATGCGTGGGAAGGCCTTTCAGCAGCCTAACTCAGGTGTTTCTGTTGCAACCGGAGTCCTGCATCCTGAGCGGGGAGTTCCAGCCTTTCTCAGTCTATCTCCAGCATTATCACTGCTGGTGAGCCGGCCAAAGCGGGGGGCATGAAAGAAAAGATCAAGTTAAAGACAGGGCTCTTCTTAGAAAAAAGGATCCAGGAATCCTAACCTCCAGGCCACAGGTTTATTCATTTTTTATCATGTCGTTGTGATAAAAATAATGAAGCAAAGTTTCAGTCCTCAGAGTGAATGAACGGGTCAGACGATATGACTAAAATGGAAGGTAGGTCAATTCTGAAAGCGCAGAAGGACTCCCAGGGCTCCTAAATTCAGACCCGATGAGTCACTTCCCTGCTCTGAGCCCCGCTGCTCTGGTGTGAAATGAAGAGGTGGGTCAGGGGCTCTCTAAGGTACTCCCCTGTTCTGAAGTTCCTTTAGCCCCCGTTTGTTACACGCCTTTCCTCCCGGGGTGGGGCCCTGGCGCCCTCTCCTGGTCACCGTCTGGAACTTTCGGTTGGTGCCTGCCAGACCCTAGCACAGTGTCCAACTGTCTCCACCCCCGCTCGCTCAGGCTTTTGGCTCCAGAGACCCTCGTGCATAGCTGGTGGGAAGTGTGGCAAGGCTGAGCTAGTTCGTCTGCCAGGCACCAGAGCAAGCCTCGGGTAAAAACAGAAGGAAAAACAAGTTTATTATCAGAGCCACAGAGCCTCGTGGATGGTCGGGTGCGAAGGAAGCGTGGATATCATTTATTTAATCCAGAGCCTCTGGATAAAGGGCAGACATCAGACTTGCCCACGTTGGCTTCCTCCAAATGTAGACACCTCTGCAGCACCCTTGCAGGTGTGAGATCGGCAGGGGTGAGTGAGGTCATATGCGAGTTGAATGACTCCCCAGGTGATTGGAGGGCGCAGCTCTGGTGCCCCTCATTTTGTGGCTGGGAGAAGAGTTCTCTGCAAGAGCAAGGGGCTTGCTCAGGGACATGAAGCAAATTAGCACTGGAAGCAGGACGAAAATCCAGATTGTTTGCCTATCCTGCGGGCTTTCTTTCCACTGCTGCTTTTCCCGCCGCCACCACCCCCACCACCTGCCACTTTTTTCTTTTTTCTTTCCTTTTTTGCCTCTGTGACATCAGATACTCCCTGCCCTCATCTTGCTCAGAGCTACGCACCCCTCCCCCACCATGACACCTGCCCACCAACCCCACATGTCCTCCATTCCTGTGGTCCTAGAAGGTCTCCCTGGTTCTCTTTGTTCAAGTTGGGTTTGTTCTGGCATAGGCTGTCACCTCCTGGCCCTAAGGCAGAAACCTGAGGCCTCTTCACCTAGAGGTAACTAAAAATACTGAGGACAGCTTCCTGTATTGCCATTTGTGGGATACTGCATTTTGAAAGAGAAAGCATGCTTTAAGCCAAACAAATCATAAATAATGCACCAGGTGGTAGCAAGCCAGTGAGACATTTGAGCTGTACGGCATTCTCACGTGCCTCACACTGCATCTATAACCTCTGGCTCCAGCTGGAAACCTGGATGGTCCTGGAGCCTTTGGACTGCTTTCTGGGCTGAAAGTTATGGCAGGCTGTGCTGTACTCTTAACAACCAAGGATTTGGGGGTGACTTAGATCCAATGGACAACTGCAGATCATAAATCTGACTTGCTGTTGAGAGCTGGCAAGGGGAGAGGCAGCTGCAACATTCCTCCCACTAGCAAGGAGTAGATATATCAGGATATCTGCCATGTAGTATGTTTTCATGTTCCTTTTTGTTGATCATGAAACAAATAAGATAATATTTATTTTCACTCATTCAATAAGTACTTATTGAGCACTTTAAATATTCTAAGATTTACACAGCAGGCAGATAATCCAGAAATAAATATGTTCTCAATAAGCACACAGTCCACAGAAAAGAAAGATCAACACAATACAACTCTTATAACAGATGGATGAGAAAAGTGCATGGAGGCCGGGCACAGTGGCTCATGCCTATAATCCCAGCACTTTGGGAGGCCAATGCGGGAGGATCACCTGAGGTCAGGAGTTCAAGACCAGCCTGGCCAACATGGTGAAACTCCATCTCTACTAAAAGTATAAAAAATTAGCTGGGCGTGGTGGTGGGCGCCCGTAATGTCAGCTACTTGGGAGACTGAGGCAGGAGAATTGCTTGAACCTTGGAGGGGGAGATTTCAGTGAGCCGAGATCATGCCATTGCACTCCAACCTGGGTGATAAGAGAGAAGCTCCATCTAAAAAAAAAAAAAAGAAAGAAAGAAAAGAAAAGTACATGGAGAAGGTTGTGAATAGCTCTGCATGAGAAGTTGGGGATGGTTTCACAAAGGGTAGGACCTCATAGGAATCTAGAACTACTGGGAGACTGCAAAGCAGGAGAGGATATTAGCACAGAACTAGCCACAGGTGAGAGACACAATCCAGGAAGAGGGAAGAGGAAGAAAAGTTCACAGATTCTAACATACCACAGTGTGTAGCAGTTTTTTCTGGCCAACCAAATGGAAATGAGGTAAGAAAGCCTGGATTGTGAAGGCCCTTGCATGTCATGTGAACAGAGTTGGGACTTCATCGTAAGGGCAGTGTGGAGCATTGAAGAGTTTTCAGCAGGGAAATGGCAGGATCCTAACTGTTTCAAATGTACAGCCCTGGGGACAATGTGGTTGATACACTAAATCCTCCAATATTGATGTTTGGTTTTGGGATGACCTGGAAGGTCTTGTTTCTAACCCAGACTTGTAGAGAACATGCGCATATCACATGGAGGCTGTCTGTGTTGGCCCTGAATGAGTTCCAATGTTCTCTCCCCAGGAATACCACTTTCCACCATCAGCAGCTCAAAAGACAGAGGCAGCTGAAATAAGGCATGTTCCTTACATCTGTGTAGACTTTTAATCTCACAAGACGTTCTGAAATACATTAGATAATGTAATATTCACAAACCCCTGACTGGTGTTATTATCCTCATCCTACAAACTAAGAAACTGAGTCTCAAGTAAGGGAAAATGTTGTTTACATACCTGTAAATAGCAAAATGGAGAGCCAGCTCTAGATAGCTCACTTTAAGGCCAAGATTCCTTCCACTGCTCTGCTGCTTCTTCCAGGCATCCCACTCCCTCTTCCCTGGCTCCTGAGCAACCGACGACAGCCAGTGAGAAAGCCAATGGTGGGAGAGTCAGGATTTGGAATTCCTTTGACATCTTCTTGAGTTTCTTTACTCAGTCTTTATTTAAGCTGTATTTTAAAATATGGCTCCAATGACGGCCCTAGGTTTGCTGGTCTTGCATATTCTGAGCCTCATTCTCTTTCTTTCAGCCGGAGAGGACTTCACCTCTGTGGTCTCAGAAATCATGATGTACATCCTTCTGGTCTTCCTCACTTTGTGGCTGCTCATTGAGATGATATATTGCTACAGAAAGGTCTCAAAAGCCGAAGAGGCAGCCCAAGAAAACGCGTAAGTTCAGAGATGCCAAAGTAATAATGAAAGCTAGCACCCTCAGAATGCTTGCTCTCACAGGTGAGGTGCTAAGCAGTTTACATTCATCCTCCACCCTCTTCCTGATCGCTACTTAAGAGATAGGCACCATTATTATACCCATTTTACAGATGAGAACACTGAATTTGGGAGCAAACTCTCCCAAATTCATTTTTCTCATCTGTAAAATGTAAGGCAAACTCTTAATTCAAATATCGTCCATGCTTATGTCCTGAATGGTATTGCCTAGGTTTTCTTCTAGGGTTTTTATGGTTTTAGGTCTAACATTTAAGTCTCCAATCCATCTTGAATTAATTTTCGTATAAGGAGTAAG